CTCTTTCTCTTTCGCTTTCTCTTTCTCTTTCTCTTTCTCTTTCTCTTCTTCAAGCTTACGCGTGGGGTGCCTGCAGAGTAATCCCAGACTGGGAACGAGCGACGATCATCCGATTATGAACGGAGTCCGCAAGAGCCGGACCAAGATCGACAACAGTCGGGACACAGCTCGTTGCAAAACCGACCTACGACCTGGCGCCCACGTCGTCGCACGCTACGGTATGCCACACACACACACACACATACACAACGCTCACTTCATACGCATTGCCTCCACAGCCGATGGTCCGCCGATGGTGGTGCTCTACGATTCCAAGGCCAATCAAGCCAACTCCAAGCGGCCATCAATGCCGAAGGGTCGGGGTAAGGAAGACGACGACTCGGATTCGGACTCGGAGCCGCGCAACAAGTCGGCCAACAAGCCACCAACCGTCGCCGTCGACGACGAAAAGAGCAACATCAACATGGAGGGCATGACCGAAGAGATCAAGGAGACGACAGAAGCGGAGACGTGGGGCAAGACAGTGTTCGTGAATCTCTTCCCGGTGAGCAACGAGGACTCGAGGCTGGGCGGATGGTACCCGCCGGCACCGCAGAGCGATATCCCGCGACTCCTCAGCAACGCCCTCTGCTACGTGGCCAGGAAGAAGACGCCCAACGAGCCTTCTTCTTGACCGTTTCTTGTTGTACTCCTTGTCGGCGACATGTAGCGATGAAAAAGAAATATTTATTATAAATATTGCATTTTAAAATAATTCAGATCAAGAAGAGATGGCTGCTGTACCTGAAGGCTATTCGACGACGCGCGATGAGGCGACCAAGGACTACATCTTTCAGCAGACCATGCTGCGCGTGAAGGATCCCAAAGTGTCACTCGATTTCTACTCGCGCGTTCTTGGCATGCGGTGCGCCTTCTTCTTGCACTACCACCAATCTTTCCTCCATCTCTTTGCTCTAAGGAGCTCTCCATCTCTTTGCTCTCCATCGCACTTACGCCAAGCTGTCCCATGCTGATGATTTCATCGTTCGATCGATTGATCCGCAGGTTGTTGAAGCAGCTGGACTTCCCAGAGATGAAGTTCTCGCTCTACTTCATGGGCTACGTCGACGAGTCGGCCATCCCGACCGACGAGACCGAGCGCACGCGGTGGCTCTTCCAGCAGCCGGCCACGCTCGAGCTCACCCACAACCACGGCACCGAGGCCGACGACTCCAAGTACCACAACGGCAACTCGGAGCCCCGCGGCTTTGGCCACATCGGCATCTCCGTGCCCGACGTCTACAAGGGTAACGTGTTCTCCGTGTCGTGTGCGTGTGTGGTGTGCGTGTGCGGTGTTGTGTTGCGTGCTGACTGCGGCACACGACCACACACGCAGCGTGCGAGCGGTTCGAGGCGCTGGGCGTGAAGTTCGTGAAGAAGCCTGACGACGGCAAGATGAAGGGCCTGGCCTTCATCAGCGACCCCGACGGCTACTGGATTGAGATCCTCAACGCCGGCAACATGGCCGCCTCCTGAACCTTCAACCCAACGTTTCCGTTGAACCTTGCCTCGAAGCGAACACTTCCCGCCTGAGCTCATAAACAGTCTTGCAGCACATCGCTCTTATGCGCAGCGCACTCGTGTGCCGTGTGCGGTGCGCGTGTGCGCGTGCGTGTCATGTATGTCAAATGGCGCGCTGAGTCCGTAACGGCGAGAGCAAGGGGACCCAGACTTGCACGAAGAGGTCAATGTCGCGCACGAAGATGACGCTCCGTCTGGGGCCGGCGGCCGTCACCGCCCTTGTGGCCCTGTGTGCCCTCTTGAGCGCCACCGCCGTGTCTGCTCAGGTACACAGTGATGAAAAGAACGTGTTTGCATCGATTTCCGATCTGTGCTTCTCACCCCTCCCCCCTTTAATCGAACCTGCGCAGGGCAACACGAGGACTAAGCTGGGCCTGCTCCCCGGCCTCTCCCACTTGCCCTCCTTCAATCAATGGACCGGGTCCGTACTTCGTTCTTTTATTTACATTTATTTGTTTTAATTGAATAATTATGTTTAAATTGATTCAAATAATTATAAAAAGACGAACAATAATTATTATCTCTCTTTTCAATGTCTATTGACTGCTGGGCCGTCAGGTACGTGAACGTGCGGCCGTCGAGCGGGCGTCATCTGTTCTACTGGTTCGTGGAGAGCCAAAGGAATCCGGCCCACGACCCGGTGGTGCTGTGGCTCACCGGCGGACCTGGTTTGTTTCCTTTCTGTGCCCTTGCGCGTGCGATTGCCAATCCTGTGCTGACGTGGCCACGATGGCTGCGTGTGCGTGCGGTGGCGCGTGTGCGGTGGTGTGTGCGTGTGCGTGCGCGCGCAGGCTGCAGCTCGATCTTCGCCCTGCTGACCGAAAACGGTCCGTTCCGCGTCGAAGACGACGCCTTCACCCTGCGCAAACACTTGCAGTCGTGGAACACGGTACAGTCTCCCCATTTTTAGCTCCGACAACACGCTCGCGGGCTTGTTTTGACTCCGAGTCTTGGGTCTGATCTCCGGTCTAGGTTGCGAACATCATCTACGTCGAGTCGCCCTCTGGCGTTGGGTTCTCCTACGCTGACGATGGTGCGTATTAATATGTAAATATATGTAGTGAAGTAAGTGATATATGAAGTATGTCGACTTTCTTTTATTAAACTGATCGCTCTTTGATGACCATCAGGCAACTATACCACGGGAGACAACGACGCCGCAGAAGACAACTTCCAGTTCGTGTTGGGCTTCTTCAAACTGTTCCCCGAGTTTGTTCGCGTACGTGACTCCTTGACTGCTTCACTGTCACAGGCCTCATATGAACGACCGCACGCGCACGACACAACACGACACGCAATACACAACACGACACGCGCAACACGACAATCAGAACCCCTTCTTCGTAGCGGGCGAGTCCTACGCGGGGCACTACGTTCCTCAGTTGGCCGAGAAGCTGTTCGAGAGACCCGAGGGCAAGGCCGTCAACCTCCAGGGCTTCATGGCCGGCAACCCCTCCACCGACTGGACCATCGAACGTGCGTCTCCCCCCCCCCGTAGAATGCATTCCACATTCCTGACACCACTTTTATCGACAGCCGACGCCTATTGGGCGTTCATGGCCTATCACGCGCTGATGAGCACCAGCGACTGGAAGGAAGCCCAGCACGTACGCGACTCCCTCCACACCCGATTTTTAAAGTCCGATTCGTCACGTAAGCAGAACAAGAACGAACAACACCAACTCACCGAGATCGGTCATGCGCGCAGGTCTGCCGGAACAACTTCACCCACCCCACCTCTGCCTGCACGACGACCCTGGACCGGATCCGTAGCGCCTTCAACAGGTACAAATACTGTGTCTGACTCGAGTGTGTGTCGTTGTGTTTGTGCGTGTGCGTGTGTGTCGTGTGTGTGTGTTGTGCGTGTGTCGTGTGTGGCTGCGTGCTAATCAAATCATCAGGGTGAACCCCTACAATATCTACGCTCCGTGCATTGGGCCGAGCGACCCGGCCGGTGGCTGTCTCACCCAGCAAATGGCCCTGGCCTTCGCCGCTCGCCCCGAGCGATCCCAGCGCAGCAGCAGCGACCTCTACTCCGTCGGTGCGCCGCGCCCTCGCTTCCTCCCCTGATCCATCTTCTCACCCCTTCTCGCACACAGGAAGCCAAACGTTCATCCCTTGCATCAACGTGAGCGCACCTCGTACGTTCCGACACACACCGCAAACGACACGACACGACACGACACGACACGAAACACGCACACGACACACGCGGCTAAGTGTAACGCAACGCAGAGCAATATATGCAGCGGCCCGACGTGCAGCGGGCGCTGGGCGTGTCGCCCAAGTCGCAGAAGTTCGAGTGGACAGCCTGCTCGGCGCACCTGAACTACACCCAGTACGCCATCAGTGTGCTCCCCATCTACGCCAAGGTACTCCCTCTCTCCCTCGTGTGTCGTGCGTGTCGTGCCGTGCCATGCCGTGTTTATAGTGTCGTGTCGTGTCGTGTCGTGTCGTGTCGTGTCTTGTCGTGTCGTGTCGTGTCGTGTCGTGTGTGCGCACGCAGTTGTGGAGGTCGATGCGCGTGCTGGTCTACAGCGGTGATGTGGACTCGTGCGTGCCGTACCTGGGCACGGAGGCCTGCATGGATGCCCTGGGCCTGCCCGTGGTCGAGCCGTGGCGCGCCTGGATAGTCGACGGCCAGGTGGCCGGCTACGTGAAGGTGCTGGGCGGCCGCGCCGGCGGCCCCTCGCTCACCTACGCCACCGTCAAGGAGGCCGGCCACATGGTCCCCACCTACAAGGCACCTCTTCTCTTCTCCCTTCAGCATTCATTTTTTTCCACATCTCACCAACGACACGACACGACACGACACGACACGACACGACACGACACGACACGAACCTTTGCAGCCTGACGAAGCGCTGGCCCTGTTTTTGTCCTTCATCAATGGTGCTCGCCTATGAGCCAACATCGAAACCGCTACGTAGCGTGTTTGACATTCGCCAATTATTACCATCTTTATTTTTAATTTATTTAATTTTTTAATTGTAGATTTCCTAAACCTGGGCGCCTTGTCCGACGAGGACTTCGACTTCGGCTTCGGCGTCACACGCGGGCCGGCAGACCTGGGCCTCCGGGCAGCCCAGCGACGGCCCATCGAAGCCCACGACCGGCGGGAAGGCGTTGTCGCGGTAGCGGCCCTTGGCGTCCGGGTAGCAGCCGAGGCCGTCGGCGTAGCGCACGCCCGCCGCGATGAGGATCGGGTAGCACCCGAGCCGGTCCCGGTAGTACGGCACGCCCGCCACCACCCGCGGGCAGCACCCGTTCTCGTCGGGCCCAGCCCGCTTCCGCCGCACCGCAGCCGCGCCTCTGTTTGTCGTCTCCCGCTTCAGCGATGTGTCGTGTGTCGTGTGTCGTGTGTCGTGTGCGGCGTGTGTTTACCAGGAGTGGGATCGACTGTGGGAGGGCGGTTGGGGGTGGGGGTGGGAGCGACGGGCCGCACGCAGCTGGACCAGCACTTCTGAGCCACGGGGCACACCACTGACTTGGTGTAGTGGCCCTGCGAGTCGGGGTAGCACCTGCAGGGGTGGCCGCACAACTCGTCAGCTTCACTGCCGCACACGACCCGATGATGGCACGACACGCACGACTCTACCGCACGACACGCACCCGTTGCCATCGGGCCAGTAGGCGACGCCGTCGAAGACACGCGGGTAGCAGCCGCGGCCGTCGCGGTAGTAGGGCAGGCCGTTGATCACCTCGGGGCAGCAGCCGCGGCCGTCGGGCCAGAAGCCCATCGGGCACGGCCCGAGACCCAGCGCGCCGCTCCACCACAGCGCCGTCGTCATCATCGTCACCGCCAACGTCAGCAACGTCCTTGATTGCGTGTTTGCTTTCATCTGGTAAAGGGATTGTTTGACGGTTTCAGTTGTCGTTGAATGATGATGAGTTGATGTTGTTGTTGAATGCCCCTCTTCCTTCTTGCTGGTCGGGCAAGACGCGTCACGAGGCTGAGACACACACACTCCGCCTGCTCATATTCGAGGAGACCTACGTATGGAGATAGTACGGCCCATCGGGGAGATGGGTCACCAGCAGCGCAATGTTGTCGTTGAAGAAGAACTGGGGAAACCCGCGGAGAAGTTCACGACGACGCACCCCTCAGCACACAAGCGTGAGCTCCTGCGCGAGGAGGACCGTCAACGGGAAGGGGTGAGCTTCGGGGCAAAACGAAAACAAGGCCTCGCCGCTGCCAAAGTACTTGCCCCGAGTGTTTCCAGGTTTCCGCCGAAAAGCACTGCACACCACACACGACACACAAAGCACATGCCCCCAAGGAGCGCCAATGTAGTCATAAGATCATGAAGTCATGGATCTTGAAGGGCGAATTGCCACACAGCATTTTCTAGCTTAGGTCTATCTTCTCCCACCCCACCACCACCACCAGGAGGACGAACATGATGGACCATCCAACCATGTCTCTCTTTCGCTTTTGAACAAGAAGTGGACCCGACTACTTTGAGCGCCAGTTGTTTTATTTCTAGGCCGCTGTTTTGGGCACGGCCACGCGAACGACGACGCACCGCACACAAGCGTAAGCACACTATTTGCCCTCCTCCTTGTTGATCTTGGCGATGATGCGGGCCACCTGGGCGGCGGTGATGAGCTCCTGCGCGACGTCCACATCGCCGCTCGAAGACGACGAAGACGACGTGGCCGCCTTCTTCACCGTCTTGGCCAGCTGCGCCAAGTTGGCCTTCGCCTCCTGAAATCGCGTTTCAGTCAGCGTGTGCGTGTGCGGCCGTGTGTCGTGTGTGTGTCGTGTGTGGATGTGTGTGGTCAGGTGTGTGTTGTGTGTGCGGTCGAGCGGCCGTACCTTGAGGGTGGAGCAGCGGACGATTTCCGAGGCGAAGGGGGCCTCGGCGGCGCTGACAGTGTCGACCTTGAGCTGCGCGGTCTTGACGCCCTTCTTCTGGAGGGCGAAGGTGACGTGGAACACCGCCTCCTCCTGCGACAGGTCGGCCGGCAGGGCGTCCATCTCGGCCTTCACCTGCGGCTTCAGCTCGTCCAGCGCCAGCTGCTCCTGCGCGCCGCCCGTGATCACGTCCGCCAGGTGGGCCGCGTTCTGCCACACACACCAAAAAAATTAATATATATATTCAAAAAAACAAAATCTATTATATTAATAGTTAGAATAAAACCAAATAAAAAAGGGCCAATAGGGGCGTACGGCGAGCGAGATGCACTGGCCTTCGGTGATGTCGGCCACGGCCTTGAGGAAGTCCCGCGCGTACTTGAACGAACCGATGGCCGGCTCGCACGACACCGAATAGATCACGATGCCTGTCAAGGAGACACAAAGAAGGGGGGGAAGGTTAGCCGCAACATGTGTGCGGTGGCGTGTGCGTGTGTGCGTGTGCGTGTGTGCGTGTGCGTGTGTGCGTGTGCGCGTGTGCGTGTGCGTGTGCGTGTGCGTGTGCGGTGGCGTGTGCCGTTTGTCTCGTACCCTTTTGGATCATCTGGCGGGCGAGCACGATGGGATCCCTGCCCTTGGGGCAACCATTGGGGAAACCGTCCGACGATTCCTACACCCCGGCCCCAATCGTCAGTCACCGAGGCGGTGGTGCGTGTGCGGTGGTGCGCATGTGCGTGTGTGTGCCTACCAGGCCGTGGGGCGGAGCGTCGGTGATGAAAATACAGATCTTGGTCGCGTCGTCGCGCCACGGCAGGTGGAGCACGTCGTGGAACGCGCAGGCCACCTCCTCGGGGCCGTCACCGCCGCCCGACGCCGCCATCGTGTCCTAATTGATAGGGGGAAAAACAATAATAAGTAAAATTACACGTGACGTCAGCACGCAGCAGCTGGTCCTGTGTGTGCCGTGTGTGTGTTGGTGATGCGGACGTACGACGTTCTTCTTCATCTTGGGGAAGTCGTCGGTGAAGTCATAGACCTTGGTGACGTAGCTGTTGTCCTGCGGCGGGTGGTCGCGGTAGGCCACCAGCGCAAAGCGGAAGTCGCAGCCGCCGTTGTCACCGCCCAGCTTGGAGATCTTCTCGGCGATCTTCAGAATGTTGTCCTGCGCGCTGTTGACCACATTCCACGAGAAAGTCAACAAAGTCAACGCGTGGTGTCTGTGTGTCGTGTCGTGTCGTGTCGTGTCGTGTCGTGTCGTGTCGTGTCGTGTCGTGTCGTGTCGTGTCGTGTCGTGTGTCGTGTGTCGTGTGTCGTGTGGTGTGTGCGGTGTCGTGAGGTGGTACCTCTTGATGTAGGTGCCCATGCTGCCCGTGTTGTCCACACAGAAGGCAATGTCCAGCTTCTTCTTGCCACCGGCACCTGAATTATTTTCGCTTGTTAATTACCGCACGGCATACCGCACGGCATGTATGAGGCACGCGTACCGCGTTCGCCGGTGAGAATGGGCCAGAGGGTCTTGTCGTGGCTGACGCGCCTGAAGAGCTGCGACACCTGCCCGGCATTGCGCAGATCCATCATGTCCAGGTTGGAGAACACCGAAATCAAGATCTCGTCGCTCAACCTGCGCGCAACCAGCAGGGTAAGTTGCGTGTCGTGCGGTGCGTGTCGCGCGGTGTGTGCGGTGTGTGTCGTGCGGTGTGTGCGGTGGAGAGTACATGTAGATGGGGACTTCGGGGTTGAGCGCCGTGTGGCGGTCGTCCTCCGCGGAGCCGGACATGGTGCCGACGCCCTCGTTCACTGCGGCCTTGGGCTTGAACGCGTTGTTGATGGGGTCCCTGTACTTGGCCTCCCACTTCGGCACCTCCGCCAGCATCACCTCCTTCTTGGCCCTGCGCGCGTTCACTCATCAGCGTGAGCCATGCGTGTCGTGTCATGTGCGGTGCGTGTCGTGTCGTGTCGTTGTGTGGAAACCGCACCGCTTGTCGTTGTAGTCCTCCTGGGCGAGCTGGGCGAGGTAGTCGTCGACTTCAGCGATGAGCTCCCCGACGCCGCTCTTCTCGGCGAGGGTGCGGACGTTACGGAGGGCCTCGAGCATCTCGTCCTCGCGCGACTCCTGCCGGTCGAACTCGCGCCTGATCATGTCCACCAGCACGCTGGCCCACAGCGACACCATGAAGAAGCGGCCGGCGGCCTTCTTGTCGCCGATGCACGACAGGCACTTCTTGAGGCCGCAGAAATCGAACACGCGCGAGTAGGCCGTAATCTCTGCTCAGCACACAAAAATCGAAAAACAATTAGTCAAAGATAATAAGAAAAAAAATTGCAAAGTACCAAAAATAATAAGGCTACGAATAAATTAATTATAAAATAATTAAAAAGACAAATGTTTACCGCTTTCAAAGAAGGAGCCCTCGGCGGAGAGGACGCCCAGGAAGCTGTCGAGCTTGGTGAGATCGGGACGCTTCTTGGAGAGTTTGAGCTGCGGGTACCATCCATCGTTAGTCACCACAAGTTGGCCAACGACAACACCGACAACAGCTGGTGGTGGTGATGATGTGGCGAAAAATTGTACCTGCAGACAGTCGAGCTTGAGCTTCGACTTGAGCTCGGTGACCATCATGCCCGGATCTGGGAGACATCAAATTAGAGTTACTGTGTGGGCGAGCGGGGCTGGCCCAGTGTGTTGAGCTCGAGACGTGGTGTACGTTACCGTTCTGTTCGATGAAGGACATGAAGAGGACCTTGGCCTCCGGGTTGACCTCGTCCAGGTACTTCTTCAGCAGGTCGGCAAAGAACATCCCCTTGTAGGGCGAGTTCTCCTCTGTTGACGAAGCAGAAAAGAAATTAGTAAAAAAAGAACTAAACTACTTAAAAAAAAATTGTGTTTAACAAATAATAATAAATAAACAAATAAACAAGGAGCCACGGAGCAAGGTACCCTCGTCAGTGACGAAGATGAGGAACTTGTTCTTCTCCTTCTTCGCGTAGAGGGGGTACAGGGCCGACGCGGGCGAGGTAGCACCGTTGGCCTTCACGAACGTGGCGACGCTCAGCACGTCGTCAATCGTCTGCAAAAAAAAATGAGGAAATGAGCTGAGACTCAGAAACACACGACACACACAGCACACACAGCACACACACGACACGCGCGCGGAGAGGAGCAATACCTTGGGAACGATGGGCGGGCGCAGGGGCTTATGGTTGAAGAAGACCAGATCGGCCTTGATCAGGGCGGTCATGAGCGACGCGATGATCGTGGCCGTCTCGATGGCGACCTGCATCGACGCCGACGCGTCACCAGCCACACTGCGCAGAGGAAACCCATGAATCAGCCACCGTGTGTCGTGTCGTGCGTGTCGTGCGTGTGCGGTTGTACCTGACGGGAGGCTCGAGGGGAATGTTGTACTGGCTCAGGCGCTTCTCGGCGATGGGGATGAGCTTCTGGTAGAAGCCGACGCCGTTCTTCTGGAAGAACAGGAGGCGCTCCATGAGCTTGCCGTAACCAAAGTTGGGCTCCTCGCCCTTGGCCAGCTTCCGGTCGATAATCTGGTTCACCTTGGGCGAGCAGATCTCTGCAACGTTGACACAACTGTCAGTCCCATGCGCGTGCGTGCGATAATGCGCGTGTGCGATCGTGCGCGTGTGCGTGTGCGGTGTTGGTACCTTCGTAGTACCAGATGAGGGTGTCCAGGTCGGTGTACTGGGCGATGCTCACGCGAACGGGCTCGGGGAGCAGACGAGGGGAGACCTTCTTACGGATGTACCGATAGGGGATGTCGCACTTGGCCACCAGCTCGGCGATGTTGTCCTCGTTCAGCTTGAGACCGGCAGTGACGATGCTGTCCTCGGGCGGGTCGGTGCCGAACACGTAGTCCAGGAACCACGGGATGGGGAAGTCGTCAGGCCTCAAGTGCAGGAGATCCGCCAACTCGACCCACGGTTGCTGTGTGTCGTGTGTTGTGTTGTGTGTGTGTGTGTGTGTGTTGCGTGAGTCTAAACCGAGAATTTCAAGAATGAAGTAGTAAAACGACTACGAACCTTGGGGAAGCTGAGCGCATAGAACTGGAGCTCCTCCGCAGTCCTCCTCCTGACCCAACCTGCATACAACACACAAAGCACACACGACACGCACGTACCACCGCACACGCGACACAACACACGACACACGATCAGCCTATATTGATCAGCACACACAACGCCCTTTGGTGGGAAAGCGAACCCTTGAGTTTCTTGATGACGGCGCCGGAGAGGGACCCGGTGGAGACCTCGCGGCTGCAGTCGTTGATCTTGGCCTGGAGCTGGCCCAGGATCGTGGACGAGGCCGTGCCCTGGCGCTTGAGCCGCTCGATGCGCTTCTCGAGGGCCTTGATCTCGCGCCGCGAGTCGAGCAGCTTGGTGGCCTTGAGCACCTCGGGCAGGGTCGTCTGCGCGTGGCCGAGCAGGTGCGTGCCGAGCGGGCGCATACGGGCGTCCTCGAAGCAGGCCGTGAGCGCGCGGGTCTTGGTGCCGCTACTCAGCTCGATCGACTCGAGCAGGCTCAGCAGCGTCACGGTATAGATCGAGGCATTGGTTTGCAGCGCCTACACAAATACAAATATATGTAAACGTATAAGTAAGTCATTTATGTTTCTACAATACCCACTGTACAGTTCGTCAATATGAAAAGTTTTGACTGGGCAGAGAAAGATGGAAAGATAAGAAAGAGGGAAGAGGGGGGGGGGTGAAGGGGTACTTGGCGGTGGTCGTCAAGAGAGGATTCGACGGAGGTGAGGAGGCGCTTCACGGCCAGCAAGTCCCACTTCTTCGCGGTAACGCTGGAGTCGTCCCCCACGGTAGTTGTGGTGGTCGTGGTCGTTTCGCTGGTCTTCTTTTCCGCCTCCATCTTCTTGACCAACTCAGCGACCGTTCTTTACTTTATCGCTATTTTTTTGTTTTCTTTTTTCTTCTTTTTAATTCACGGAAACAAAAAGTGGCCACTTCTCTGTTTCCCAATTTACGAACCTCGAAATTTCCAGGCGTCGCTTTACCCAAGATGGCGTGACAGGATAAATGGTGGAATGGATGGGGCCATTTTTTCGTGAGGGGAATGTGAGGTGTAGAGACTGACAGCCAACATACCCTCTTTGGTGCATGCACAAGCAGATTCAATGGAACAGGATTGAGCAGGCTCCCAGAATTCTTGGACCAAACACAGTATCTGGATGTGCTATTCATGTGCATGTATCATGTTGTCAGTCAATGCCAAGAATGAAGCTTGATACTGTGTTTGGTCCAAGAAGTAGAAGGTGAAGCCAACAGAGGAGGAGAGACATGGAGCAATGATGACTGACATGGAGGCTGAGAGCAGTGAGGTGGGTGAAGACCAGACTGGGTGCCCTGTTGCCAAGCCCAGGACCAGAGGAGCCAAAAAGTGAAAGAGCTGGGTGAGAAGTGAGACAGTTGAAGTGGAAGAGGAAGAACAACAAATGAAGGTGCTCTTCCATTGACACTTCTTCATCCTCATCATCCATGGACATAGTGCCCACCCAACCAAGAAGGCAACGAGGCACACAACGCACCAACAGGTGAGGGTTCGTTCATTTTTCGGTCGAACGAAAAATAAAGAAAATGCAGCATTCCGGGCATTGCTTGACGTAACTCCGCAAGGCAGAGAAATGGAGAAGAAGCGAAGAACACCGGAAAGAAGTCGCCGAAGCAGGCAGAAGATTATTTATTTTCCTATTTTTTACTGACGCCGCTACACGCCATCCCTGTACATAAGCCGATTTCGAATCTTGTCGCGTAGAGCACACGACGAGAGATCAATCGTCGATCACAACACAACACAACACACCCAGCCCATCTACACCGAGATCGAGTCGTAGAGAAGATGGCGGACACTTATACGTGCATGACCTGCCGGATGTTCTTCGACTCTGCGGAGGTCCAGCGAACGCACTACCGCGCACCGTGGCATTGTTTCAATCTCAAGCGCAAGGTTGCTGGACTGCCGCCCGTGAGCGAGGAATCGTTCGAGGACAAGGTCAAGGCCCTCAAGACTGAGAAGATCGCCCTGGACCACCAGGCCCTCGCCGCCAAGTACGTTCATCATTTTTCATCTCTTCTACATCAACATCGCCGAGGATATCTACATGCACCATACCGAATTTATGTGTGGAAAACTCTCACCCAATGAGATTCGCTGAGGCTCATCTTAAAATCTTACCATTCTACACGGATAATCCGAGCAATCTCTAACAATTCCTCTCGTACAGGCAGCGGCCCGCTTCCAAGAAGACCCACAAGTTCCAAATAACCAAGGGCAAGGGCAACGGCCGCAATGCTGCCGGCAACCTCGCTATGGCAGCTGACGAGCTCGGCATCTCGCTCGAGGACACCCCTGTGGAATCTGTCGACGATGATTCTGCCGAGGAGGAGGAACCGGAGGTACGCCTACTCCTCCTGCACTACAGTTTCCTTCTACTCTGCCAAGGATTTCTACATGCACCATACCGAATTTATGTGTGGAAAACTCTCACCCAATGAGATTCGCTGAGGCTTCTGATGATCCTTTATGTTTGCGACATCTCTGCTTTGCACTGTTCTAATCTCAAACATTTGCCAACAGTTGACTGAGGAGGAGATGATCGAGCAGCGCCTCAAGAGCGCGAAGCCCGTGCCCGTCACGGAGTGCCTCTTCGACGGCCACGAGAGCAGCGACCTGAAGTCCAACCTCGACTACACACGAAGCAAGTTCAGCTTCTTCATTCCGGAAATCGAAAACCTGGTCGACCTCGAGGGCTTGATGACCTACCTGGGCGAGAAGGTCGGAGTGGGCTACACATGTCTCTACTGCGGCAAGGACTACCAGAGCCTGCCAGCCGTCCGATCCCACATGGTGGACAAGAGCCACTGCAAGCTCAAGTTCTACGAGGAGCTTGAGGAGTACGACGAGTACTACAACTTCGAGGAGAACGCCGAGGACGAGAACAACAACCGGTCGTTGATCACCGTCAACGACGATGGTTCGGTTGACACAGGGTACGCCGCACATCTATGCTGCCCTCATCTTCAGTCTCGGTCGAGCCCCACTTTTGCTCACCATCATCTCTTTCCACAATACAGTATCACACTCTCTGACACCGGTGCGGAGCTGGTGCTTCACAACGGACGGACACTCGGAAACCGAGCGTACAAGACCTACTACAAGCAGCGACACCGACCGTCTGAGTCGCGCACGTCGGTGTTGATGGTGCAGCTGGTCAAGCAGTACAACGAGCTGGGCGTACTGCGCGAGAAGCGGGCCGACGAGATCATCGCGCGCAAGAAGCAGGAGAGGCGGATACGACACAACAACGGCGAGCAGGTGAAGATCCAGCTCAAGGCCAACAGGCTCCAGAAGTACATGCACCACAAGGAATGCATGACTTAGATTGCTGGAATACACTTCAATCGTTCTTGTCCTGCATCTTTTGGCACGTTCTTTTTTCTTTGTTCAAAACAAAACGAAACGAAACGTTTGCGTTTGAGAGTTTGGTTTTCTGGTTTTCTTGGGTAAAGATGGATGAGGTGGACGACCTTCTCTGCTCGTCAGGTAAAATGGATAGGAATGGGTGGCGCTTCACAACCACACGCGGTGCTCTGTAACGATACTGTTGGGGGGGGGGTTATGCCGGGGCAGAGGTTGTAGACTTTGTGGGCCTGCTTCCTGCCGAGGTGGCGGCGCACATCATGTCGTTCCTTCCTGCGAACGAGGTTGGCGCCACGCTCCCGCTTGTGAGTAGAGCTTGGAAACAGTACTGTTGGTGGTTCCCGGCCTTTACCTGTGCGAACGCAACTGACCGCCCACGCCAGCCTGGTGGAGGCAGATGCCGTTTGGCACCCGGTTTGGACGCGGTGCCTGGGTGACATGCTGGAGTGTCACCTCTTCTTCGCCTACGACGAATCGCTGGCCGACAAGAGCTACAAAGCGCAGCTTGCCCAAGTGTTCGCTCACCCCTTTCATGATACGTCCAACTCCCACTTCACCAGCTCTCATCCTCACAAATGTCCTGAAGCCCCCAACACCAGTGCGCTACGCTCAGAAGGAGGAAGTCGCGGACGACTACGACGCGCAACACCCGCAACCACACAAGGGACTCGCATTGCCGATCCTCGTCTGCGGGAAAGGTGTGAGAAGAGGCTTTAGCTGCAGCTCACGTTACTAACCACACACACCCCATTGCCGGCGCTCTGCCACAGTTCGGGCGGGCAAGGGCTCGTTGACCCTCGTGATGAGTGGGCGTTTCTTTGGTGGGCCAGCGCTCCGCGGTACTGCGCTCGAGCTCGTCTTCTCACGTGTATGGCGCTGGTCGGTCTGTGCGTGGTGCGTAGCTCACTCGTGGCTCTGCCGTGACACAGATGAGAGCTGTAGTCGACGCTGCACCATCAACGGTTATGATGTGATGCTGGTGCGTCAAGCCTCCCACGGCCGGCTAGTGGCCTTTCACGGACATGACGAATGACACACACGACACACACCCACGACACACACACAACACCACACCGCCCATCACCGAGCAGAACATCTTCTCGTCTACCTCTGGCTGCCGCAAGTTCATGGCCCTGACCGCCCCCTTCATTCAGGTCCGCGCTCTTCGCCTCAACACGCGCACCATCGCACGCGCACCGTCTCCCCATTTAACAGCGGTTCTTGTCGTATGCAGACCGCCAAGGAGACGAGCGCCTTCATGTTCGTCTACTCCGTGATGGACAGATCGTGCTTTGAATTCGGTACCGTTACTACGCGACGTCGTTACTACGCGTCGTTGTTCATCGCGCCCCCACACCACTCAGACACACCTGTCTTGCCCCAACAGTCTATCGGTCACACTGGGCCTTAATCAAGCGGATCAAGAATGGCCAGCCCTTCTCTGCCGTCCTTGTCGGTAACCCCAACACACACCACACACACTTCGCTGTACGCACTGCTTACGACGCCTGTTAATGCATTACACTCACAACACGACACACATGACACCCACACACATGACACACGACACACATGGCACACGACGCACACACACGAAGGCAACAAGAGCGATGTGGACAAACATGTACACAAGGCACGAAAGCGGCAGGTGTCGTCTCGTGAAGGCGCGGCGCTGGCTCGGCAGATGAGCGCCGAGCTGGGCCGCGAGGTGCTGTTTCTGGAGACCAGCGCCAAGCTGAACGACAACGTGACGACCGCCTTCGCGGGGCTGGCCTACGCCGAGATGCAGCGTCGCGGCATTTTCGACCCCGAGCCTCCCCCCAAGCCCCGCAGCTTCTACGACTACTGCGTCTTGTCATAGGCCAAGGCTTCAAGAAGAAGATGAACGGGATGATTGCCTTTGTTCTTTTATCAGTCACATCATCTACTTCACCCCTCCCCCACGAAGCGACAATGGCTTAGCTGCCGCGCATGGCGCCTCCGGGCTGCTGCTGCTGGCCGACGTCCTTCTTCTTGAGTACAGAGGGACCCTTCCAGTTGTAGTGCTTCATCAGCGAGGGTTCCTGCGCAACCTCGCGCCTCTCCCGCTCCTGTGCCTCCTCCTTCTTGATCTGCAACGCCTCCTTCTCGTCTGGAATCTGCAGCTCCTGCCTCAGCTGTGCCACTGTTTGTACCAACAACAAAGGAAGGGTAAGCACACGCAGATGTACACATGTCCTTCATGGTAAGGTCTACGAACAGTCCTTGGCCTTGGGCTTTACAATGTCGCTCATGACCGGCTTGGCTGACTCTGAAGCGTCCGTGGTGGGCTGTGCTGTGTTGTGGGCGCGTGGAGGTTTGTGAGTCTAGTCTCGACTTGCAAGCTCGGTTTTTGAGGCCTGGCCGTCAGCCTAGTCTGCGGCTGAGCGGAATTCCTTCTGGGCGCTATCAAACGACTCCCTGAAAAGCTGCCTGCATTTGGAACACAACCAGCCAAGGCCATCTTGACAAGGGTGATCAATCAATCAATCAACTTGCCTGGGCTCTCCTGCTTTCTTGAGAGCTTTAGATGCCGGCCTTGTCTCAGTCAGATTGGATGAAAAATGTGAGTTAAAGTGGACATTAGATTTCGCTCAGGGGGACAAGCTTCAGGCCCAGTCCTTGCGCGAGGCCATCGTTCTGGAGCGGGCAGTGGTCGTGCGAGATGCACGCCACGCAGCCCAAGTACGACGGCTCGAAGAACTCCTGCCTAAAGTTATCTACACGCGTGTGCGGCAGTGTATGCGTGTGTTGCGTGTGTCGTGTGTCGTGCCACGTCGCGCGCAGTTGAGATGCGTCAGGTCAACCCGACGAAGAAGAAGGAAAAAGAAGGGATCGCATTGTACCGATGCGTTCGAGCAAGTCGGCTGGGAGGACCCTGAGGCTCGGATCGGAGGTGATCGGCCGGTCCTGCCCTCCGTCGTCGCCACTCCCGCTGCCATCGAAGGCCGCTTGCGCGTCGAGGAGATTGCCCACCACGACCTGGGCCGAGTGCGGCGAGCTCGAGTCAGCGGCCAGGCAAGCTTTTTTGGGGAGGGGGGGGGCGACGCACCTGTATGCAGCGATCGGTGAGGCTCTTGGTGGAGAGGTCCGGCGGGTTGGTCCGCTCTCGGCATTCGGTGCACGAGCGGGCGAACCCGGGAATCTTGCTGGCGAACAACAGGAAGCTGCACAAAACGTGTGAGAGTCGTGTGTGTCGTGTGTGTGTGTCGTGTGTGTCGTGGACTGAGCACCGTACTTGTCGTAGATCATCTCGCACACGCCTGTACCGCCGCTGCACGAGTCCACCAAAAAGCCTGCGCAGTGTCGTGTGTGTGTCGATTCAGGTGTGTGTGTGTGTGTGTGAGAAAGAGAGAGCGCTCCGCTAGGGAAATCAACGAGTGCGTACCCTCGCAGGCCTCGGTGTAGTACGCGCCCTCTCGAACATCATGCGGGGCGAGCAGCAACAGAGGCACTATCGCCGTTATCTGGTGCAGAAACTGGTCGCATTGGAATGCGAGGTAAGGTTGGCGCGAGCAGTGAGCGATCTCTTGCTTCCTCAACCAGACACGTCACGGTAGGGCCTTACCGTGTGAAGCGCGATCATGCCGCCCGAAATATCGCGGCGCCCGCCCTGCCGCTCATTCCAGGCAGCTGTCCCACATTTGACATTTGACATATATAGAAATATATATAAACGATATAATATTGGATCATATATATATATATATAAACTTAAGTAATGGAACTGGGTATGCGACGGGAGACGTACGCGCCATGTGTGGGTGCTTGGTCTTCTCGATCTCCAGGTAGAGCTTGGCCTCGTCCGACAACCGGAATCGAAGGTAGGGCGCCTCATAGGAATCACTACGCACGCCGACGAACAAACAACGTCAGAGAGAGAGAGAGAGAGAGTTCAACGTCAGAGAGGGCGCAGTGCGATCCTGAATCGCAAGTCATCACAAACAGACAAGAAGAAGTCCGCGTTGTACGTGTAGGTGTGGTCGTATTGGTGCACGACGTAGTTCGAAGATGCCGACTTGCAGTTTCGCTCCTCGTACCCGTAGAGTTCGGTGTGAGCCATTCCCAGCCTTCGACCATGGGTCGCGCATCACAGGAGAAGTGAATACCCCACATATGCCCTATAATGGCACCAGGAAGGAGTATGTAGAGACTGCTTGGCGAGTACCGTATTCGATGGTCAGAATGCCCATCTCCAATTGGTAGATCTTCTCGCCCCACGACTCTTTGATCTCGACCTTGCCCGTAATGGCCGCCTGGGCAGGAGAAGAATGATCGGAATGTGAGCAAATGGAATGTGAACAACAACGTGGAATGCTGTGACTGGGGTATAGAACCTTGGTGTCGCAGTATTTGCGGGTCGAGAGGGTGAGGAGGGCGTGGCTGTCGACGTTCTTGGGGTCCAACTCCAATGACACGACGTCGAACCGCTGCACCTTGCCCGACTTGTCCGGGCTGTAGAAGATTGCGCCCGGGTAGGCTCGCCAGAGCGCTGCACGGTTGGGTGGAGGTTGGCACCACGCAGTCGCACATATTTCGTCGCGCGCACATGCACACGCACCACCGCACACGCACGCGCCACCGCGCGCACACGCACACGCACGTGGTGCTCACCTTGCTCTTTGCCCAGTGTCTCCAGGGTTACGTTTCCGCGGTCCTTCCACAGCACCTTGACTTGCTCCATCAACGATCCGCGCATATTTACAACTCGGTGCGCGGTCCACGGTGGAGCGATGCCTTGTACAAGTTGACCTGCGTGGCCCAAGTAGTATACATGTGAGCGCGTGTGTCGTGTCGTGTCGTGTCGTGCGAGGCATGTGCCACCTTTTCTGGTTTGAGATGACCGTAGGGTGACCTCCTTGGCCTCCAGAAGCTCCCGCACAGTCTTCTCCACCAGACCTCCAAACCGTCGTGTGCGCTGTGTGTGTGTGTGTGTGTGTGTCGTGTGTGACACAGAAAGGACGGGCCAGCGTCAGCACAACAATGTGGAGATAATCAAGGTGCGGGCAAACACGTGCCTCGTTCCACCAGAGGTCGCTCTCGTGGGCGCAGCACGACAGGTGCTTTCGCAGGATCGAAGGGTAGTCGCTGTTGAAGGCTATCTTTTCCACCTCTTCGCTGAGCAGCACTGCATTGCAACACACACGACACACACGACACACAACTCGTGTTAGTCACTTCTCTCACGTATCATGGCGTGTGGCGTGCGTGTCCGGCGCCAAGTACCGCGGGGCCGTGATGCGTAATAGACGTCACGAGGGAAAGACGCAAAAGGAAGAAACACGGCAACGCCTGCACGTGAGACCGAATTAGGTCCATCTGGGCAAGCAATAGCCATCAACTAGATTCAAAGGGCGCGCGACTTACCTGGCTTGGAGCGCCCGGCGCGTCCCACGCGCTGCCAGAAGGACATCTTGCTGCCCGGGTGGCTCAGCATCAGACATGCGTCGAGCCCCGGGAGATCAAGCTGCGCGTGCGTGAAACAAGCGAAGTGGGAAGCTGTCATTACGTTGGTGGTGGATGTGGTTGGTTGGTGGTGCTGTTGGGTACCCCGGCTTCCAGCGCGTTGGAGCAGATGATGCACAGAACCTTACCCGACTCCAGATCTCGCATCACTTGCGCCTGCGCGTTTTTTTTTTGATTATAAGTTTTTGCAAAAAAGAATAAGAATAATAAAAGAAAAACAATTACATTACTTATTTCAGAACCTAAGAAAATAAATAAGGTTGGTGGCAAGTACCTTGGCATCGGGCGTCATGGACGAGTAATAGGTTCTCACCTTACCCGAGATGTGCCGCTTCTTTTCCTGGATGAAGAAGCGGAGCTTGTTCACACTGTCGATGGTGTTGCAAAACCTGTTCCCCGCACCCGCGTTGTTAATTATCAACATAAGCGGAGGCTCGGCGGATAGGGGCAGGCCGTACACCAACGAGCGCCACTTGAGGTTGATCCACGACTCGATGATCGCTGCAGCTGCCACCTTGGAGCGGGTGTGGGACTCGAGCGTGATGATGGCCCTAATGACGGTGAAACCAGGGAAGATGAGACAACACGACACACACGACACCAACGACACACCAACAAGACGAGGTGCTGAGGGTGGATTTACCTTTCTGGTCGCTGCGCACCGCTCTCCTGCACCCAGGCGATGGTGTCTTCATCCCCCTGCGTGGGCGATCGGTGGAGCAGGCGCGAAGCCAGGTCCACCGGATTGCCGATGGTGGCCGAGGCTAGAATGAACTGGATCTGAGTGGAGTCTCCGCCAAACCCGTCCACAGCCACGTACAGTCGTCTGTTTTCGCCGCGCGTGAGATGCTCATGTATCGAGTTTCGTGTGTGTGTGTGTGTGTGTGTGTGTGCAAACCGTATGAGGTTGCTGGCGTTACAGCCAAAGATTCCTGAGTAGGTGTGCGCTTCATCCTGACGGGCAAAGAGTGAGACGAAATGCACCGATCGAAACTAAAGACAGTTGGCAGCCTTACCAACACGCAGATGCCGAGCCTGCTCAGGAAAGTTCGCCAGTGTTGCCACAGACCCTGGTCCTTGCGTCCTCTGTACAACTGGATGTACGGAAAATGGTTTATGACTTGAGCCACGCCCCATCATTTTGCACCACATTTGCGAGAGCCGTGTCATTTGTTGGTCGTGTCGTTGGTCGTGTCATGTCGTGTCGATAGTAGCTTGACGCACCTGGTAGTGCAGGGTCTCGGGGTTCGTCACTAGGATGTCCGGCGGATTGTGTCGGAACAGTTGCAGCTTCTCGCTTGTCTGATGTTCGCCTGTGTGGTGTGGTGTGGTGTGGTGTGGTGCGGTGCGGTGCGGTGCGGTGCGGTGCGGTGCGGTGCGGTGCGGTGCGGTGCGGTGTGGTGTGAATCAGTGCGACGTGACCCGACGCACGCATGGATAAATAGGCTCTAAGGGCACCTGTCATGATTACGACGCGAAGCCGCTGCGCGGCGGGCAGCTGCTGGTTGAACTCGAGCAGCTTCTTCTCCTGGTCCTTGGCGAGCGCGTTCAGCGGGAACAGATAGAGGCCGCTCACCTGCCGCCGCTGCCGCTTGGCCCGCAAGATCTTCTCGAACACGCCCAGGTTGAAGCACAGGCTCTTGCCCGAGCTCGTCGGCGTGGTGATGATCACGTCTCGGCCGCACCTCCTCTCGGTCATCGTCGTCGTTGCATGTGTAGTCGTTGTAGTGGCCAGCGTCGTCGAAGTGGGTACCGGCGCAGGCTTGAGCGGAGTGAAGAGGCGATCGAGCACCTGGAACTGGTGCGAGTAGAGGCTCGTCTTCCGCTGCTGCTCGAGCGCGTGGACCACCTCGGGGCACAGCCGGTGGCCGTTGGGCAGTCCGCGCCGCACGTCGACGCACTGGGCCGGCTTGGCCTCGACCCGGTGGATGTAGCTGGCCCGCACCGTCTCGCTGTCGCGGCCGCGGCGGCCGCCGTTGGTGCTGCCGCTGCCCTGCCATACGTCGATGAGGAAGTGGTGCAGCTGCTGGCGGAAGGGGCCGTTCTCTAACTGGTCGAGGCTGACGTCGACCATGTCCTGGTACTCCTTGTCTCGGTCGCGGGCGCGGTCGGCCTTCTGTCGATTGATGAAGAACTTGTCGCCCAGTTCGGACAGCGGCCGGAAGTTCAGGGCCACGTCATCATACTCATCTTCTTCATCTTCATCTTGCGATTCATCTTCTACGGAATCCTCGCCTTCGGTGGCAGCGTCAGCTTCGTCATCATCCTGGGTAAGGTCTATGACACAGCTCACCTTGGTGCGCCGCTGTTCTGGCTGCACCCGAGCCTTGCCCTTTGCATCGGCCGAGGCCAATTCTTGGATGAGCTCATCTTCGAAACTTTCATCTCCATGATCCTCTTCACCCTCCTCATCCATCTCATCCACCACGTGCCCCTTCTCCTGCTTCACAGCGAGAGCCAGGTCTTTGCCAACCCTCGCTTTCTTCATCTCCAGACCAGCCACACAAAACTAACCAAGAAGCGAATCTTTATATTCGCTTAGCTTTTCTCCACCAATTTCTCACTAGGCCACAAAGAAACCAAAAGAAAAAAATTATCAAAAGAACAAGAAGAGAGATCATGTTGACCCGTACCGAGAGGCCACAGCGCCCGGTCCCCTCCAGTCCGGCGTTGGGCGCACGAAAGGGCACGGCCGGGGATGGAGCGATGGATGGCGGCGGGTTGGTGCGGCAGATGGGGCGGGCAGGTGGTCGGGCGCAGGAAATCACTCACGATGCCTTGTGGAAGGCAATGCGTTGCGGCCAACGCGAGGAGTTCCAGTCCCTCCTCGCACGAGGCACCCACAACATCAACCGCCGCGATGACGACGACGTACCCCACCAGCTTTATTCTTTTATTAATTTTAATTTTAATTTTATTTCACGTTTGTTCTCTAATCCGTGGACGTCGTGGCGATGCCCGCTGGCTCTTCTCATCGACCGTATAGCAAGTGCGTTACGTCCCGTCCAGCTTCTGCTTGCGTTTGTACTGATCGAGGCTTTCCCCTATCCACTCCACCAGGGAGTACGTGTCAATTCTCGAGAGTGTGTGCGGTAAGCTTGTTTGTGCTGGTGTCTTGATACTTATCTCGTTCATACGTATATAATCGCTGTTTTCTTCACTCCAGCGGGTACCCTCTCCCTCTCTCTCTCTTTGCGTGCGTGGTCCAAACCGAACCATGCTCAACCCGTGCCTTGTTCTTTCAGATGCTGATTCATTGGGCCAGCATGTGGGGACACGCGGACATCGTGCGCACACTGCTCGACCAAGGCGCACTCGTCAATGCACCGGCAGTACGCTGTCCTCTCTTCTTTGATTCTGATTCTGCAAACTCATCTGATGGAGGGGTTGAGCTAACACCATCGCTTCACGCCCATCATTTTTGTGCGACAGTGGGTACGTTTGGTGTTTGTGTGGAGTCACGTGGTGGTAGGCCCAGAGGCTGACCCTTTTTCCGCACCGCCTCGCTTTACCTAGGACTGGGTGCGTCGAGCGTTTGGTTTTTGTAATACCTTGCCTGTCGGGCAGCAAGCTCACTTCTATTTGGGTGCGTGGGAAATGCAGACTGCTTTACACTACGCATGCGAAAAGGGACACACAGACGTGGCGCAAGTTCTGCTGGACTTTGGTGCCAATGTCAACGCACAGACAGTACGTGAGACCTTCGCCAACCGTTCGATGTGGCGAAACCAATCATCTAACCGCTCCCTTCTTCCCCCTTCTTTTCACAGGCGGTACGTACTCGCTTTCCACATTGTAGTGGTGAATGCGAGGAATGTCTGACCGTGACCGCCCATGGTTCGCTGCTTCTTAGCGGGGAGAGACTCCGATCGAGCTTGCCCGACGAAGGAACAACACCAAGACGGTGGAGTTGCTCGAGGTAGGCCTATTCATTCCATGGCTTCGCTGGTTGTGAACAGCGACGCAACTGTCGCTCTTTTCTTCTTTTCTTTCTTCGTGAACGCCTCAGGATCGGATCAAGCAGGAGCAGGAGCGGAAGAAGCAGGAGTTGGAGGAGAAAGACCTGCAGGGCCGCATATTTGAATTCAGCCAGACCGTCGCCTGGACCCACAAGCAGACTGCCCCGTCGGCCGTGCAGTGCCTGCTGCGCGTAGACGATACGGTACCCACGGCTCTCCACGTGCCTCTGGACCCCAGGTGCTGACGACACGACACGACACGACACGACACGACACGACACGACACGACACGACACGACACGACACGACACGACACGACACGACACGACACGACACGACGGTTTAAAGGTTTGGAGCGGAGGCGCGGATGGGAACATAGGCGTGTGGAACGCGCAGACGGGACTCCAGGTCACCGGCATCAAGACTAGCGACAAGCGGGGCCGAATGCAGGCCATGATTCTCGTCGACAACACGGTTTGGACCACCTCTGACGAGATGGGCGGTGAGCCCACCATTCGTGTCTGGAATTCCAAATCGGTACCACCCCTTTGCCCCCCCCCCACAACTCCCCCGCAGCAATCGTACCTCACCCTTGTTTCGTTTTTCTTTTTCGTTTTCTCAGCTGGTCAAGATCACTGAGCTGACCGGCGCCCACACGAAAGTGATCCGCTGCCTGGCTCTCGTCATCTCGCGGTACGGAAACAGGATCACCACAGTGCCACACGTGTGAACTTTCTGCCTCACCAACGTTGTTGTGTCCATCCAGTTCGCCCGCCGTGCAGGTGTGGTCGGGCGATCTGTCGGGGGTCATCACCGTGTGGAATGCGCAGCGGCTCAAGAAGGAGAGCGAAATCCACCTCCCCGAGACTGGGGTCTATTCCATGCGCCAGGTCGGCAGTCACGTTTGGATCGGCGGAGACTCCCACATCATATGCTACAATCTCAAGGTGCCCCACTACATTGCCTACGGCCCAACGCCCGGCCATGATGAACCAATCACTCACTCACTCTCTGCTTGCTTCTTGCTTCTTCTGTCTCGACGGTGTAGTCAGGAGACATGTTCACTGTCAACAACGCGCACGCACGTCCGGTGAACGATATCTCGCTCGAGGGCGACTATGTGTGGACCTCCTCGAACGACCACACAGTCAAGGTACGCACCTTGATTGCATGCATTTGACATTTTAACACATCACGTTGACACCGATCGGTGCACCAGGTTTGGCGGCCGGGCGCCACGCTAAGCGACATCGTTCGCATCAAGGAGATCAACCTGGACAGCAACGTTTTGTGTCTCTCGCGGTATGCCCACACAAACCAGGCCTAAATCGCGAGCTCTCCTGATTGTGTGTCGTGTGTGTCGTGTGTGTCGTGTGTGTGTCGTGCCCATGGGCAATCCAGAATCAGCCACTACAACGCTGCCCAGCAGGTGCTGAACGTGTACATGTCTGGCGGCCAAACCGACGGCACCGTCGCTCTGTGGGACACCCGAAAGCACAGCGAGGTTGAGCGGTTCGGCGCAGAGAAGAATCAGGGCACCATCAGGTACGCGGCGACCCGCACACCCGTGATAACTTTTACACTCAAAAATGTTTGTTTTTGTGCACACGTACAGGTGTATGCTGTGGGTGGCGGAGAACAACACGCTTTGGTGTGGATCGCGCGACCGCAACATCTACCTGTGGACGCTCAAGGACTGAAGCTCATCGCGGGGAGGTTGGGCCGGACAATAGGTTTGCTCCGCCATTTATCCGATTCGATACCTTGGCGTATCGAAAACAAATAAAAATAATTAATATTTGTATTGGCCGTTTTGGTGTCTTCTTCATAGACTCAGTCCCTGCGAAGCAAGATGGGCGGCTCACGTTCATCGCCCGTCTTCGCTTTCGCTCTTCTCTATTTCGCTTTCATTCTTTCTGCTGCGGCCAATGGTATCAGCCCGACCTCCCCTTTCGCCAACGCGCCGCCTTTGATGGTCAAGGACGTGCCGTTCGAACAGACCACCTCCAAGATCTTTGTCTTCGCCAGCTCGGCCTCCGCCTCCAACAACCCCAATCGCGACGAGATTGAAATCACATCGGCCGCCAACGCCAAGATTAATTTCAATCTGCCCACGGGCTGGGACAGGCTGCCCTTCGACGCCGCCTTCCAGGTGGTCAGCAGGCCCACAGGCACTGACCCCGCCTCGAGCTTCCTCATCTTGACCAAGACCCACGGCGCGTGGACGCTCGACCTGCCCGCTCGTGGCGGCGTCGACGGCAAGGCCAGCTTCAAGCGCGTCGATGCTCAGCTGGGACTCAAGGTCGATGCCACCATGCGTGTTACCTTCCACCCGACCAGTATCGGTATCTCACTCCCCCAAGACTTCGCCACCAGTTTTTTTATGCCTTTTTTCAAATAAGGAAAAATATCGGGAAAAATGACAATATCCTATAATTATTTATCTCGCAGCTAAGTTCGCGGCGGCTAGCGCCAGCGGCGTGTTCCGTTGCTCCCTCGATGGGGAGCGCTGCCGCTTTGTTGCATTCAACTTTGGCGCCGTGAATGCGGTCGAGTTCGCCACCACCAGCAACGACGCCCTGTGGGTAGGCTCCGAGCGCGGTACGTTTGCTTTTGTTTGCTTGACCAATCGCTTGTCTAGGAACAAAGAGCTGATCCGGATTGGTGCATCTTTGGTCGCCACCACACAGGTCTCTTCTTCGTGAGCACTCTCGATGGGATCACCTACGTCAACTCTACCGAGGGCGAGGGCGTGGTGTCGCTCGCGGTTGACCACTCGAACGCCGCGGTGTGGGCCGGCACCCAGCACAAACTGTGGCGCTTCGATGGAAGCGAGCGCTGGACTTTCTTCTGGTGACTGTTCCCACCCTTTCCCTCACACACACACGCACACACACGCACACGCACGCACCACCGCACACGCACGTGCGCATATAACTAACATTTCGTGCGATGAGGGTCCCGGCGGTGGTCGACGCCGTGCCGGTGTCGCTGACGCTGGACAACGAGGGCCGCCTGTGGGTGCCCAACGACGAGAGCATCACCGTCATCGCGCCCGACCTCACCGCCACCCGCGTGCGCGGCGGCGACGGCCTGCCCGTCGTCAACCTCACCGCCAGCGCGCTGTCGCCCCGCAGCGGCGCCGTGTGGTTCGGTAGCAAGATGGGACTCCTACGGCACCAGGCCCAGGCCCAGGGCGCGGACCCGCAGGACCCGGCCTGGCGGTACTTCTTTGGCGCGCGCTGGCTGCCGGGCCAGACCTTCGACCAGGGCCAGCGGGTGGTGTCGCTCGCCGTGAGCCGCGAGGCGGTCGGGGTCGACGAGACGGCGGTGGTGGTGACGGACGGCGGGCTGGCCGTGGTGCGTCAGGAGACCGGCTGGACGCTCAGGCGCAAGGCCGACCACTACCAGGCCATGGTCAAGCCGCGCCACGATCGGCTGGGCTACGTGTGCAGCTGCGGCCTCGGGGCCTTCGGCGA